CATACATGTGAAGAATTCATCAAGATCATACTAGGGATTTTTTCAATTTCTACATGTGGCTGATCCTTTTTTTTCACTTAACGGTGAGCAACAGTCATCCCTCACAGTTATACAGGTGCCCTCAATGGCAAAATTTAGTAAGTATTTAAAGTCATATCAGTATATCTTACTATCTGGGATAAGTAACTGATTAATTCAAAACCATCCAGAAAAGGGTTTTCTCAAACTCTGTTTATTTTCTGGAAGGACTATTGCTCCTTAACTATGTAATCTCATAGTTAAAGATCAAAAAGGAGGATCAGAAAATGAAGATTACTGTTGTAACACTACTGAAATTAATTTGGAGCACATTTACAGACTTTCTATCACCTTCATATGATATAGAGAAACAGCAGCAGAAGCAGAGAAACAAGAAGAAACGTGTTGTTGCCTTCCTCATCTTCCTTTCCTGTGTTCACGAAAGACCATCTAAATTTCTGATTGATAATATTGACTCTCATATTGGCTGGATCCCCAGAAAAAAGGTAAGAAAAAGTTGTTGATTTTCAATGAATATTTCCGGAAATCTCTCCAATCTGGAGAGACCACACCAGACCACAACATGCTGAATTTTGAACATGCTAGAAAGCTCTGTTATTCTTGCTAATTCCTTATTTCTTTATCTGATTAAAGAAAAATGCAAGCTAAAAGTTGTAGCTTATATAAAAGCTGAAGCTTAATAAATGCTACGATTACCTTGTTTACCACACAGTTGTACACCAGCACATTTTACTCTCTTCTGGCACGTACCTCTTAAGGAAGTTTCTCCCACTGAAATCTGCTGTAGAGTAAAGGGGAAAAAATTACTTACCATTGAGGGCATTACTCAGCTTCTATGAATGCAAAATTTTAAGGCCAACTGTCTTGTAAACAAAAAGAAAAGAGTGTTATCCTTGCCTAAGTAAACATTACACATTCACTTAGGAAACTACTGCATATTAGTGGGGAAGTATTATTTAAAACAAATAACAAACAAAAGTGAATAATCAGCCTTGCAGCTTTTCACAAAGCACTCATTGCTTGATCAGCTCACCGAAGATGTGGAAAATTTCAAAGACAGTAGGGAACTTTTCCTCCCAGATTCTCACTGCACTAATTAGCTTTGACTTGCTATTCCTTCCATGTATGCAGAGAACTTTGACTTCATGTGTGTCCCTAACACTGTAAGATGAAATGATCTATAAATTCTGTTCTTTTGTACAGAAGAAATGGGTTATGTATTTAACACAGGCAAGTTATAATTAAAAAATCTATCCCATGGTAATCAAAATATGAGCTGTCAGTGTCAATGTTACTAGAAGTATTGAGTAAATATATAAAAGTGTATAATATGATAGTACAGCTACACAGCTGTTCACACAGGAATAAATGCAAAAAGAAAATACACAACCTTAAGTCCCTCCTGTCATACATGTATGTAGTGTGTTGTTAAATGGTGGACATACTGTGTGTGCTTAATTATGAAGTAAAAAATAACTACAAAGTATAGTATGGCTTTTCTAGCACCTTAACAAGGCATAGATATATTGGTTATGGAACATCAGATAAAGATAGTGGATTATTTTGTTGCAGCTATCAGGCTTGTAGGAAGAGGAATTTTTTTAACATGCCAGCTGTCACAGTTGTAGAATTCAGGAAAGATTTCAGACATACAAAGCTATTCTTCTGAAATAAATGCAACAGATTTCAAAGATATGGGGATTGGACTGGATGATCTTTAAAGGTCCCTTCCAACCCGCACTATTCCAAGATTCTATGAGTCTATAAAATAGAGATGAATTTAGGATTATTGTTCAGAGTTTAGCTGGATACATACCAACTGCTTAATAATACAGGTGATGGGTACATGTGAGGTGTTGGGCTCCTCACTGCAGGAGAGAGGAGAATGCATAAGAGATGGAGAAATTTCAGGCTTGCTCCCTTCTGTGGGAAAAAAAGAGAGACTTGTACTTTATAACCTGTACAGCACAGAGAGGTTGGCAGCAGAGAAGAGAGTTCATAGAACGTAAAAAATATGTCCTTGTTAAGCCTCTTACTTCTGGGATCGTGCAGAGTTAAAAATGAGCCCATAGTTCCCAGGCTCGTCTTCAGGAGGTTTTTCCTGAGGGTCCAGACTGAAGGATAGGGATGAAATGACCCTTTTGCGAGAAACGTTCACCAACTGGTAAGTAGGTGTTTTTTCCCCTGTAGGTATTTAGTGTGAATTCTTCCTGGGGTACAGTGGCTATTTACTTTCCTTTGCTTGCTATCATAGACTGGATGAAGTATATCACATTCTTGAACACTTGAGGGTAGGATCCAGGATTATTCTGCTGTATTCTACTGTTGGTATTTCCCCTGCAGTTGTGGTGGGCAAGAGTTGCCGAGTTTCACATTGTTTGTCTAGGTGCAGTCTAGACGAGATTGGTGTGCTTCAGACCATGAGCAGTTTGCTTCTGATCACTTGCTTGGTGGGACTGGAGAATGATTTGAAGGCTAGGATGGACAGCTCTGTCCATCTTTCCAAGCAAAATCTGCTCCTCTGTGGAATGTAAGAACTTTTTTCTGCATAGATTACAAGGCAAAATAGTATGCAATGGTCAGAAGTGTATCACCAGCTGGGGCTCATCACATAGCAATTGAGTGTCTCTTGAAAATCAAACTTATTACATCAAAGAGCTATTTATGCACAAAGGTGAAAGAAAAACAAAGGGTTTGCTTAAAAAACCCTAAATTCCACCAGCTTCACTTCTGCTGTATTTTTGTCAGTGATAAGACTTATGAGAATGGCATGTAACATGAAAAAAGTGCACATTGATTATAAGAAATGAGATAATACAGGTGAAAAGCTTATAGTAAGTAAAAAGTGCAAAGCGTAAATATTGCTAATGCAACCAGCAAGAAGGTTTGTTTTGTTTTTATTATCCTGGAGAGTTCATTCCAAAATCATAACAGGAAATGCATCGGGTTGTGCCTTTTTGTTAATGAAAGCATGAATAAAGCATAATTTGATGGACTCACAGATCACAAAATTACCTCACTTAAAATCTAAAAGCTCAAAATGTTGGGTACTGGGAAGGAACTGAAGAACAAACAAGAAAACAGGAAAGAAGTACTTTGTTCTAAAATTTCCTTGACTCTTACTAACATAGGAAAAGCTAAAAGAAAGAAAAGCATGAGTTATTTTATTTTCATTATTAGGATTTCCATTATGATGTTATTTTATTTTGTGAGTAGGGGCACTTCAAGACACTTGGTGGCGGGGGGTGTTGTATTTTTCTTTAGGACATCAGGGTGACAAGGTTAATTTCTTTTTTGACTTAAATGTATTTAACTTTTCTAAGGAACTCAAAAATGAAATCTCTCTCTTAGTCCCCGGCCCCCTTGGATGTGTTTAAAACCCACATGCCAAAGGGGTCAGGAAGATACCTCGTTCCTGCAGGTGTGAATGATTGGGTAGAAGGGAGTGACCAGCTCAACATCCTGCTGGGAGAGGGAAGCAGGTTGTCCCTCATGCCAGGCAGGAGGCAACACCAGTCCCACTGCACAGCAGGCAATCCCTGGGGAGTCCCTTTAGGAGAGGATGTACAGACCAGAGGACTGCCTGCCTGATGTTATCTCAGTGAGAGAGAAGGACACAAACACAGAGGAAACAAATCAAATTATTTTAACTCCTCCAGTCATTGTACAAATTGCACACTACAACGCGAAAACAACAGCTCATTGCCTCCACATGCTGGAGCAGGGATAGCAATCTCTGAGAATTCTGATTTGAAACTGGATGTACATTCAGAAGATCCAAGAAGTTGTCTTAACAGATGGGATCTGGCATGGAAAGGGGTATCGTATTATGTTATGAAAATATAAACATGTTTAATATTTTATGCCACGTTAGGAGTGCCTTCCAGCTTAAATAAAAATTTAAATGGTCCTTAAAAAATGTACAGCAAACAGATTGTGAAATCAAATTCAGACAATAATTAAAATTAAAAAAAGAAATCACGATCTGGATTATTTGCCTCTGGGAAGGCTGTTTTATACATGCAGCTGTTTCTCAACCTTAAAGGCCTGTTTAAAATGTAATGTTGGGAAAAGCAGCAAAATAAAGAAAAAAATACTAAAAAAAAAAAAGGGTTAATTTATTTCTTCTGTGTTGACAAGGAGGATACTGTGTCAAAAGCATTGTCTAAGACTTGAAAAATTAATTCCAAGAGTCTAACTGCTAAGATCATTCAGTCCCCAAAGCCCGTGGGAAGATAATTCAGCCATGAGCAGACTGTGTCACTGGTACAGCCCTACTTTCATATCTTATCTGTGAAGAGCTGGCTCGACTCATGAGCATTTGCAGAAACTGGAATGTGGTACAGAGATGCCAGAGTGACTCTGGGCCTGCAACAGCACTGCCACGGGGTTTTCCTGTCAGTGGTGTCTGTCAGGCTCAGGCTGTCCCAGGCAGTGGAGAGCTGATGGGATAAGGAATGTATCATGTGGAAAATCTTGGTGATATTTCTCCTCTTTTTCATATAACCCCAAAACCCATATTGTTAAATGACCAGTGGTGAATGATTCCCAACCTGTCAATCGAACAGGATTTAAATGATAAATGATAAATACAGTTGATTTATAAGATGATAAATACAGTGTTGCTTTACAGGCATTCATTTATGGAAGTAAACTTTGCCCAGTGCGCAAAAATTAGGGTGGATAATTTCAGGCTTATATTTCATGCATCCCAATTCTTAGAACTGTTGTCTTTTAAAATAAAATATTAAAATGCTGTGATTCTATAAGCATGTCCTATTCAGTGGTTCTACTGAATCATTGCAGTAAATATTGATTTAGGAGAGTAAGTCTCCCGAGATAAAATTAGGCACTGGGAAACAAACTCCAACCTACAAAAACAAAATCAGATTTATTTAAAAGTATAATAGTGCTTGTATTAAGGCTTTAGAATGATGATTTTCTGATGCTTTATTGAATATTTTTGTAGAAAGCTTAGCACTGCAATGATATCTGAGGTAGGTTATTGGCTCTTCAGGAATTCAACTGCTCTGATCTGTCGTGGTCTGCAGATGTGACTTCTTGGATACAGTTTTGAGGAAAAAGGTTTGGGTTCTGCATCAGGATCATGCTGCCCATCACATTTACCAGCCGCGTCCAGAGCTCCCCTGACAACAAAACCGGGAAAAGATTATTATAAACTTGTTCTAGAGGGGTTACTTTTCATCCACTGACACATAAAATGAGCAAATAGTTTAAATTTTCATAAGTGAGCACTTAAACACATTATTAGGCTTTGTTGAATAATTTTAGTAGTGATGTTTTTATACTCTCTGTTATGAGCAACATAAATGTGATTTTTTTTTCTTATGAAAAAGGTCTTTTCTTCACCAGTCCTTAATATATATTAGAAATGGGGTGACAAGTCAGAATAAAAACCAACCAAGCAACTCTCAATTTCTGTATGTAGTGAAATAGCTCCTAACCAGCATCTTTGCTTTTAGCCTACTTTTGTCTGCCTACAAAGAACTTTACTTGTCAAGAATTGTAGGTACCTACTCTTCAAGTGGAAAGAATAGCTGGCCTCCAACCTCCCACAGGGAGAGCTGAGAATTAAACAGATCTCTTAGAGAACCTAAGAATGGCTTTAGCCCCTTCAGCAGCTGAATAAGGTTTTATAATAGAAGTGCAAACGCACGTGCTGCAACTCTCGGTGAAAAGCTGTCATGATATCACAGTATTTGCAATCTAAAATTCAGCTTTCCCAGGCACCCTCCTGCACTTTATAAGTGCTTCTGATGCACAAATAATTTCCAGCATAGCTCCCGATAATTCTCGACAAATTGAAATCCTTGACAAATCGAAAATTATAACCTCCCATTACGAACGTGAATTAAATGGGTGTGCTGGAAGCTTTATTTTCAGGACACAGTGTACAGCAGTATGGGCAGGGGCTGTCTCAAAAGAGCTACAAAATTGCTAGCAGTGAACATTACACGCCGTAGGCAGGTTTGCACCTGGCTGACTCCACTCGGTGGAGTTCCTTGTGTGTGTGTGTTCTGCTGGGGATGGGAACCTTTGTAAAGGCACACGAGTAACAGCTACTGCCAGTGCCAAATTCCCCAGCAGGAATGGTAACAACTTCTGAGCTTTATTATTGCCCAGGAGAAATAAACACTGCTTGGGGCACATAGGTTTGTACTTCCAAGGCAGTGTCAGCCACTGGATGTGAGTGTGAATCGTGGAGTTGTAAGTCAGTGTTTCCCACCCGGAGTGCTGTGAAAGCCACTACCCCAGCACCACTCATCTTTCCAAGGAGATCTCGTCACCCAGTTCTTCCTGCACATTTTCCCCCTCTTCTCTTTGCACTTGCCCTTTTCTTCTCTGTCCTTCAATGACACAATTGCATCTCCCACACTATTCATCATAATTTTATATCCCTTTCTTCTCCCTGCCCCTTCCCCTGTGCCCTTCTGTCTCCACAATGTGTGATTCACTGGGGAATCCCTTTTCTCTCTTTAGTTTCCCTTTCTTCACTCCAGCTGCCCTGAACCTTTAGTTTCTCATGTCCTTCTGGCCCCCTTTTGCCAAGGGAGGGACTGTGCTGAAAAGATCTGCCTCTTTGAAAGGACAAGAGATAGTTGCTGTTCTGCCTCATGCCTCAGAGCCTGCTTTAAGAATGCTGTTTTCTTAGGACTGAGGCATTTAAAACATACATATTGTATAAAGTCAGGAGTACGTCTAACCCCATTACGTGCTCATACCTTGTCTTCTGTCCTAGCAGTTTAAACTGGGCAAAATTTCCATTTATCCGCATTGTGTCTCCCCTTATGTTTCCTGCTTGGTCTAGCTGCAGTTTCTGCTTGGGCATTTGCAGCCAGAAGTTGAGGGAGCATAACCTTGATTCCTGCTGTCCACCCCAGGGAGAGGAGAGGTGAAGCTGTGACCAGAGTGACTGCACAGAGGATTCAGTCAATTCCCATCCTCACACCTTCCCACTCCTCCTTTGTTCCAGGAACTCTCCAGCTGTCTCTGTGTTTACTTCTGCCTTCCCTGTGGCATCTTCTTATAGGCTCTGTTCCTCTTTTGTATGCTGGAGAGCATGTTATCTGCAGCCCTCTTTTCTTCTCTTCTGTTGGACTGGGCATGCCTAGGCTCCCTTAGAGCTCTTATCCTGCCGAGGCAATGAAAGACGGTGCATTCATTGCTTCCCCTCTTTCATGCCATCCTTAACAACACCAACAGCAAAATCCTTTCCATCTCAGCCTTGCTCCTCTGTGCAGTTTTCAGCTGATTTTTAGTAGGCCTGTGTTTGTCATTTGTGAGATTGGCTGCACAAAAACTGTAGGTGTAAAGTTAATCAAAAAAAGTCTGTAAACATTACTTCAGTCAGCACCATGATTTTTATAAAATGTTAAGTTAAGCTAGCTGTCCATATCGCAGGTGTTGGGTGGTACCTGGCAAGGCTTTAATTGCAAGGTTAGGTTCCTAGGTCCTTTTCCAGGTGAGACACTAAAGACAAATACCCATGAAGTTTCAGAAAGGAAAAGAAGAGTCATCTCAGACTTGTGTGTCCTACTATAATACTCAACAAGATTTTTCAGAGCCAGACGAAAGCATGACAAATTGGTGAGAGGAAGGGTCAGCCCGTTGCAGGGGAAAAAACAACCCACAATATTTGCCCTCCTGGCTACATTCATGGACTGACTGACATTCCTGCTGCATGACAAAGAGGCTTGTCTTCCCAAGCTGGAAGGAGAAACAGCAAGAATGTGGGAGAATCGAGATGGAGCCAAGAGCATGGTGGAAGGATTTAAGAAATAAACCCCTCCTTTATGGAAGAATCTGGGCTACCGATAGATGTCCGTAAGGAAAGTGGTGGTGAGGGAAACAAAACCAGGAAACATGTCAGGAGTGCTGAGAGGAGGCAGGACAGCAAGACGTGGGATGCAGGCTCTGTAAGAAAACATGTGTAAGATGTTGCTTGTCTGTTAAGGCTTCTGTGACCTTTTACAAGCCTTCAACATAGACATTGCTGAATCCTCATTGATCAAGTTTCCATGCTCTCAGTTTTGTCCTCTTTCTACCTTTTCTGGGCTGTCTGAGATGCTTTGGCATCACAGAAGGAAAGCAGCCCAGTTTATGGCTTCCACCTTGCAGTATTGCTGCTGGACATGCTTAATCTTCTACCAGTGCTGACAGTTTGTCCTATCAATAGCCAGAGGTGCCATTTCTGGCATGATAATGGTGAACAACTGTGGTGGTGTGACAAAAAAAAAAAAAAATTAGCTTCCTGGAGTCTTTCTTCCATGCACTCTTAAGAATCTCTGCATGGCCTGACCGGCTCCCTGCATGTGCTTGACAGAGCACAAGTGAGTCATGGGGTTAGAGACCACATATGGTAAAATAAAGCATCCCAGCTCCCAAGAAGCAGAGAATAAGGAGGGGTGTACAGCACAGGTTGTGCTGAGGAAGGTTCAGCTGCATTTGAACCTGTTCCACTTTCACAGTATATAATGGCTAAGTGGGAAGGCAGGTTACAGTGGGTATGCAATCACCATTAAAGCAACACTTGCAAGTTCAGCTTATGTTCATCTTTAAACAAGGGAGGGCAGCAGCTTTTTTGATAGCTGGTGTCAACTGTCTCACACATCTCTGTCTCACCTCTCCTCCCACTCCCATGTCCTGAGATAGACACAGCCGTGCCTGTCTGGAGGAAGCTGGGAAGGAAAGAGGTTGATCATTGGGCTTTCTAGATTCCTTATTGTCAGACCCTCAAAAATCTGCCTTGACAGTCCCTCATGAGCAGCTTTTCTCCAAGATGCCATAGGAAAGCTTTAGGTTTGAAAGACAAACAGCTATGGGCATGCATGGAAACATACCAGGCTATGCCATCTGAGCTAAAGGATCCTTCAGGATGCTCGAGAGTTTGGTAATATCAGGATCATGGTTGTCCTTGACAATGTAAGCCTGGAAAAGTATCATCAGTTTTGTGCATGTCCTCCCTGAGAGGCTCAGTTTGTTGTGGCAAGGCCAGTGTGTGGTGTTCCCTGTGGCTCTGAACAAGTCCATCATGTACATGCAAGTGGCTTATCACGAAATGGACTTCTGCTTTTAATCTGACGTAAATTCTGGAAAATGCTTACCCAAGTAACAGGCAAATGAAAATAGAGTTATGATGGACAGTTTCAGGCAATCGTAATATAAATGTTTATACCACTTGGCATATATCTAGAAATACATTTATTTACATTGCAAGTGAAATGAATCAAAGTGACTGGAAAAAAGCTTGTAAACATGGAAGTAGCTCTTGAGATCTGCAGCAAGATGGACCAGTGGAACAACAGAAGGTTTTCTTAAACTTATTGGCAATTGGCCCTAAAGTAAAAAGCTACAATCAATAGATTTTAACAGTTTACAGACCACGATAGAAAAATAACCAAAACTTAGCATGGCTATGTGCTCAATTTCCTTGTTTACCGCAAGGCTCTATCTTGAACAGTCACATTTCAGCTCTATATTTAGGCAACATTCATGGAGAGGAACCACAATATCCAGAGCTCCTATGATCTGCACGTTTCCCAGGGAGACCTCGGGGAGCAGCTGATGTCTTGTTTGCTCTTCCAAAGAGAGTAGCTCTGAGCCCCCTCTTTCCTGCCACATCCTTCTGAGAGAGGCAAAGGAGGACGTTTCTTCCTCACACACCTTGGGACGTGCCAGGGGCACCCTCACAGGTGGATAGTGCTGCCAGCGTTGATTCTCTGCCACACAACCCCATAAACAAGCTGCCAAGAGCTGCTGGATGGAGCTGAAATTGCATGCTGCAAAATAAGCCTGAAGTTGAATCATTCTTGAGGTAATGTACATCAAAGAAGGAAATGAAACTCCTCTCTAGAAGAGTGATGTATTTGCTTATTGTCTGAGGAACTGAACACTGTGAAAAAGGAAAGCAGAGTCCGTAAAGTGGTGTTGTATATTCAGAGGTTAAAACTTGCCTCTTACTGACTGTAGATGTAGTGATAGAAACCATCCCTTGGTGCAAGACTGAATTTAAAATGAAGGAGTTGTTATGATTATATGATAAAAGTCAGTTATACTGAAAGTGAAAGCAAAACCCATAAAGGATTTACATGAATCCTTCAAGTGACATTAACCTCATGAAAAATCTGCTTCACCTCATCTGCAAGTGCTTCAGGAGCAGGAGGATTTAGTGCTGAGGAAACACACAGTTATTTAAACTCCCCCTTCAGCAGCTGTAGATGGGTTTGAAACATCCTCATGTCCCCTCAGGGGCTCCTGGATGAAGATGGTGATTTTGGTTTTGGTCCTCAGGGGATGTGCACTCTCACCACCCCATTGAGAGAGGCAATCTGACTGCTGGGACTTTTATATGGCATAGTTAACACAAATAAATCAATTTAGCAAATGCTGCTTTTCCCTTTTCCCCTAAATGTGTTCATGGATCCTATGAAGCACTCACAGAGGTCAGGCCAAGCAGCTGTTGCCCTCATAATTTCCCATTTTCAGTCACACTTGACAAAACTGTGGTTTTTTCTCTCCTCTTGAAAAGACTAATGTCTGATGTCTGCTCAAATTTACTAAGTAAATAAAACATTGGGTGGTGTCCCCGTGTACATTTAGGAGTGTAAAAACTGGCAAAGTAGGTTTGTTTGAGCTGCTCTAGACTAAGGGCAACCATTCCCATAGCACCCACCTATTCATCAGCCAAAGGGCCTCTCTCTAAAGGTAACATATATTCTACCATCTGCATTTGGACAAGTGACTCTCTCACCCTTTACCTTTTATTCCATTTGACTCCTTCAAAGACAGAGAAAAGATTATGATGATTATTTGCTACTAAGATTATATTATAATTTTAACCTGTTAAATATAACAGGTACTAATACTATATAACATAATTGTTACAATTATAAAATATAATTTAGTATAATTATTATCAATATCTGAAAATGGAGCAGGAAAAAATTCTAGTATGCTCACCAGCAGAAAACATTTCAATGCCAAGCCTTTATAATAAACTGCATTTAGATATGTTCATGTATGCTTCAGCCCAGTGAAGGCCATTTGTTGGTTTTTCTCTTTGAAATAATACGTTTCTGTGTGCACCTCTTACCTGTACACTGAGTAAATGTAATGTCCATGAAATCTCAGGAATTATATAACAGTCAAAATTCAATTACTACAGATTTGCATTTGTTAAATTCTTTTTTGCATTGAGGTTAATCATTTAATGTGTATTCCTAGTCATCCTGAACTCATTGACAGCTTTTTAGTGGCTTCGATGGGGCTTGGACACCAAAGCAGACACATCCCAGAGAGATGAAGAAAAAACCCTTCACAGTAAAAGAAAACAACTACTTTGCTACAAGAAAAATGTTATCTATTACAATTAAACTTAGTATGCTGTAGGTAGAGATAATTTCTGCAAAAACACGGGCAGCTTCTACCTAATTTTATACCTATTTGATTATAACAATGTCTTATGAGTAGTATAGACCCACAGACATATTTTCCCTTTCTTGGTGGTGCTGTAGTTTAAAAGCACTCTGGTTTTGCACCTGACTAGCCAAAAGCATACACATTCTAATCTTGTCCAACAAGAAGATTGTACCAATTTATCTCAATCTTTTCTAAATTGGAGTAGTTAAATCGATACGTGTGTGTGTGCAGCTGAGGGTGTTGGTCTACACTCCTCTTTCAATTAACCTCTCCGGCAGCTGCAGCACATCCTGCCTCCCAGCCAGTCCCTGTGTATGCCTGGGAGAAGTTCAAAGACTGTAAGTAGAACAGGACTGGGCTGCAAACAAGGCCAAGCAGAACTGAAACTGAAGTCCCAATGTGTTTTGCTTATTGCTCAGACCTCCTTTGCAATACGACACCTCGCCGTGCCCCAGATTAGCAGGCTTGTCCCCAGGGACTGTTTGAAGCCTGTTTGATAGTCCACATTTTCTAATGCTGTTGAAATACATTGCCCTTTCTAGAGGTGCAGTGCAGAAATAATTAACATTTACCAAATTCTAGCAACAATTTGTCTTTATAGGACCTGAGCTTAATAGCCACCTTTAAACTTCTGCTTGAAGTCACCTTTCCCTTTAGGATTCAACTAAACCAACATTTAAGCAGACAGATGCTGACACTCCCATCACTCTGAGTGGTTCTGCTCACCTCCCAGCATCTTGTCCCTGGACTCCTGGTTTCTTCATGCTATTGTAAATATTTTTGCAGTTCCTCAAGGAACTCAAGGTGCTTTCAACCATATCAGTCTCCTGATTCTACTTTGCCTTGTGGATATAGAACCAATTTTGCCAGGAGAGGGGAAGAGAATGGTGGTTGGAGGCAAGGGAAGAGGAGGACAACACCTTTCAGTGGCTGTGCTGACTTGGAGCATTTGTCAAACAGTCCACCCTTCAGTTCAAACTTTTATTTCACATGATGCCTCCTCCTAAGGAATTCTTTGCTGATGTTTGTCATGTTGACTAACATGGTGGCATCTCTCCCCGGGAGCTGTGTATGTCTGGGGCTGACTCTCACTGCCTGGGGTGCCATGTAGCATTCCTGGTCCCTGGAGTTCAATGCACAGTTAGCATCAGATATTCAGTGATAACAAATGGGCACAAAAACTTTGCCGTGGCCTACCTGAAAGACAGGAGTAAACCAAAAGCTTATTTGGGCTTACATGTAATTGTAATTAAACCACCAGCACACTAAAGTCTCAATTCAGTTGAAAGTTCTTTGATTACAGCCTGTAAAATTTGTGCCTTCATTACAAACTCAGCAGGCCCAATTAATCTGCAATTATAAACACTAATAAGTGCTATAGGAAAGTCAGGACAGCCTGGGGGATCTGGGGATGGCAACTGCTCCTGAGAAGGATACAGATGTGCTGCTCCAGGGTGGAATCGATCAGAAGCTGCTACCAAGCAACCTGGGACCTGAGAGGAATCTCATGGGAGGAGAGGCAGGACCCACATAACCTCATCCTCCAGAGGGAGAAGAGACTGCTAAGGGCCTCCCAACCACGGTCTGCTCTGAGCAGAGACAGGGCAGCCCCAGGGAAGCAGAGCAGAGATGTGCTCTTTTCCTCAGGGCTGCCAGAGAACAGAGAGTGGGGGAATTTCTTTGGTTAATACTCTTTCAAGTTGGATTTATCACTTGCTTAGGTGTAAGATAAATTGGGACATCTCATTTAAAAAAAAAAAAAAAAGGCCCCAGCCCCTGGCTTTTTGTTGGTGTCTTTGGATCAGGGTGTAGAAGTTGCAATGGTCATGAAAATGACTGTGACAACAGAAGTCTCTCTGACTCAGCATGGTCTTTGCTCTCACACCTGCCTTTTTGTTGAAGTCTTATTTGAGGTCCCTGGGATATGACTTAGGCCTGACTCAACTGAGCTCTGGCTCTTGCATGTAGTTTTCTCACCAATTGCTTTGTTGGTCCATTGTTGGTTCCAGATCCCAAAGAAACAGGACAGAAAAAGGGGCCATCAAACTGGCAACTATTTCAAATTACGCAAAATAATCAAACTAACCTCCTTTTATAATGCAAAGGATGAAAAAGGTGTAATAAAGCAACAGTTACTTGAAAATATTATGGATTAATTGTAAATTAGTGTTATGTGCCCTCAGAAAACCACAATTCATTTTGGTTGAAGAAAGTTCTAGTGATCACTGCTGCTTCATGGCTCACCTGCTAGTTCTACTGTATTGCCATTTTGGAGGCAGGTGAACTTTGAGATGGCAGCCTAGGCAGGGTCTGTAGGCTGTGTCCTGTCACTGCAAGCTCTGAAGCAGAAGAGGCAGCAGATGAGTCCCTGGATTTTGAACTCTACCTGTTATTTCTGCCCTAGGGCTTCCCATGGTTGGTGGGAGCACATCTAGTGTATTAAAGGGCAGCATTTCAGAGGAAATGCTCTCGTGCTTTAGGAGGCTGAGAAGCAGAAGTTCAAGGTTGGACATGTTAGTTCCCATTACTCAAGGTAAGGTAAGTTGTTCTGAGCAAGCTTCAAGTGAAAAGTATTGAGCCCTGATAGAAAATTTCACCCTGGAGGTTGAGCCAGTCCCTGCCCTTTCTTGTCCTTCTGGCCTCATCTGTGCCTTCCTCCCCTCCCCATCAGTGCTCCTTTGATACTTATGTGAGCCAGACCAGGGAGCCAAAACAGCAGAAAGAACGTCCGAAGGGTGAGTTTGCCTGGCTCCCAGGAGGAGCCCCAGTGCAGGTGAGGAGGAGGAGGAGGAAGGGTGGGAACAGGTGCTGGGCACAGCAGAGGGGGAGCTTTTCAGCTGTGCAGAGTGGTTAGACAGGCTTCTCCATGGTGCCAAACCACACCTTGAGTTGCACCATGCCAGTGTGGAGCTGGGCTGTGTGGGCATGTGGGATGGGTTACCATTGCTCCACTGCCACTGCTCCATTTCAGTGTCACACTGTCAGTGCAATGGCCTTCCTTCCCATTCAAGGCTGGCATTCCCTACAGCCTTAAAGGAAGTGTTTGATTCACAGGTGAGTCCCATGAGCTGCAGGGGCAGACCTGAGGGGCTGAGAGCTCTGTGTGCCAGCCAGCCTGCAGCTGGGCTCCTGTCAAATACAGTCAGGGATGTTAAATGAGGGTTACAGAACATGAAGCACATGCTAAGCATGCAAGCCTGTGCAGCAGTGTTACAGAAGAGGCTGAGACAGAAGGACATTTTGGGACAAGACTGGTCTCCTAACTTTAGACGTTTGCAGTATAGACAGCTACACTGACACAGCTGGCAAGGCTCCCTTTGGAGTCAACTGGAGAGGAGCAGCCCTTTTAGGATGCAGTTCATCCCATCCTGATGTAGATATATGAAGCTAAAGGTGACAAATTCTTCTCTGAAATTTTAAAAAGGCAAAATTCTCCATAGGCAATTATTTTTCAGTGAGAGAGTCATGACTTACGAGGGCCTGGTTCTTTCTAGGTGACACTTCAGAGAGCCCATGGTGTCTTGCTGGAGCAGACACTTGGCCAGAGAAATCCCACCATTTCTCTCCCAGGGCCTGAAGGGTGAGGAAATGTGAGTAACATATTTATCCATGTTTGCAGAATCATAAGCACATTCCCATCCCAAAGCAATGACTAAAAATTGCATCAGACTGAGAGGGAAGGTAAGTGATGAAAGAAGGAACTGCATTCCATTCTCTGAAGAACAAAAAGCTTTTGAAAGAAGAAGAAAACTGCCACAAATTCAGCTTTGTTCTGGACTGACGCAGATATTTCTATGCGGTGTGATGCTGGCCGTTAGCATCTTCAGATGTATTTTTTTTTAATTTAGAAAAGTGTTATTTGGCTCCCTCTAAAGCCAAAGGTAGATGCTACTCAATTTTTATTCTGAACATCAATCTACATTTTGGGCTGTGTAAACCCTCGAGGCGATAATTGTTCAGAAATAGACTGTTCTATTCAGCGTGGAAGCCCAGGCTGCTGCTACAGAGTTTTGCCAGCAATGAGAACCTGCCAACACACCTCTGTCTCCTGGGGGCATAAAGAGGCAGAGCTGCCTCTTTGCTGCCAAGAGAAACCCCATGTGCAGGCACAGTTACGCTGGCAACACTGGCAGCACTCCTTCCCTCCAAGGGCTGGTGGCTCTGCCATGGCAGCGAGAAACAAAGGTTTGCCCGTTTACCTGCAGCAGGGATGTTTTGTCAGCAGAGTGCACAGGTCAGACTTTTCTGCAGCAGAAGTGGTACCTGTTGTACTTGACCTTGATGTCTCTGTGTTTTATTTCTTTCAGCATAAGTTTTGACTGATTGATTTCGACTCGCTCACTCTGGGGCTGCTATTGCTATTGGTGATGGGCTATTTAGCATTTTAATGGGAATAAACACTCTTCAGAGAGGTTTTTTAAACTGTCACATTTCTTCACAGATTGCTAAACTTTCCTGGCATTATCTTACTAGATATTAAATGTCAAATGACATTTATTCTTAATATGTCTGACATGCTCATGTAAGTGTAAAACATATGTTTAAGAACAAGTTCTTCTCCCTCCTTAAATTTGGGCTTCATCTGCTGTTTTATTTAAAGGAGGGGTCACAACTGACCATTGCATCATAATATTTACCTGGTTTTGTAAAAACCATGCAATCCTGTGACATTTTTGAAAGGAGGTAGGCATACATGCTGGCAGCTCTTTCCTCCTTAAAAAGAGTACATATCCCTTCGCTTCTGCTTGGGACGAGAAAACATGCAAAACAATGCTGTCATTTAAACCAGTGTTTGATTCTGCAAGGGTTAAGTGGTGTCATTACACAGTTTCACTTCCTCTATGACAGAGAGAGAACTACACTGTATGAAATAATTTGTTTATATTCCTCTCTTATTCCAGACAGAGTTACAAAGCACATTATTGTGACCACTGAGTCAAACACTTTCATTCCTTTTGCACAAAGCAATTTAAAATTAATTTTTTGAGAGGGTTTCCTTTTCTTGACCTCTTCTCCAAATGAAAATGATCCTCAGAAAATTTTGCATTAGATAAATAATTGGCCTGGATAAAAACCTTTGCCCTCTGGAAACATTTTCAAGTGTTTGGAATGATAAACTCTGTCCCTAGAGACCAGTAATCCAGCATTGCTGTGGTTCTGTCAGTGACAGACAGGAGAGATGTGTAAGTTCAGGTATGCATTCCAAGGGAGTACATTTCATCATCATGGCTGGGCTTCGCGAACGAAGATTTGGGAAGGGCTCTACCCACGTTTGTTACAAGCACACTGGTGGCTAAAAAGGCCAATATGAGATAGACAAGTCTGGTTGCAAAAGGCACAGCAGAAAGACTCCTTAGCTGGTATATTCTGCAAGGCACGGTTCTTTCTGCATTGCCTTTTTTCCTTGAGAGTGATCCTGCGTGCTTTCTCAAAAGCATCAGCTGCGTTATAGATGGTGTGTCTCCAGACCTCCTGTTTGGAGGCCAGAGTAGACCAGTTATGGTGATCAATATGGCCAAGGCTGGGATGTTGTTTCAGGGAGTCCTTGTATCTCCTCTTTGGGGCTCCTCTCTTGCAGCAGCCGGTGCCAAGTTCACCATAAAGCAAGATCTTAGGGAGGCGGTGGTCCTTCATCCTGGAGATGTGCCCTGCCCATCACAGCTGTGTTCTCATCAGCATGGCCTCAATGCTTGTGACTGCTGCTTGCTCTAGAACAGATGCATTGGTCACAAAATCTGACCAGTGGATGTTTAGGATTGTGCAGAGACAGCGTTGATGGAAGCGTTCTAGGAGACGCAGGTGGTGGCGGTAGATGACCCATGATTCGGACCCATATGAAAGAGTGGACAGCACTATGAGTCTGTAAACACTGATCTTTGTACTTTTCTTCAAGTGTTTATTTCACCAAACTCTTTTATGAAGCTTTCCAAAAGCACTACATGCCTTTGCTAACCTGTTGTCTACCTCCCCGTCAATCTTACCATCCGAGGAGATGAGGCTACCTAGGTAATTAAACTGCTGGACTGATTTGAGCTCTGACTGGCCAATGGTGATGTGGGAATGATGGGGGACTTCCTGAGGTGCAGGTTGATAGAAGACTTCTGTCT